AAGGTAGCATTCAGTTCTCTTTTTCCTCTTTCCATTACCATTGAGCGATTAAGGCAGTGTTCAGTCCTTTTTTTCCCTTTAATCTTTCCATTACCATTGTGCTATGTAGCACGCTTCATGGAATGGTAACAGCGCCCTCTATGGTTGGTCAGCATTTTATAGCAGAGCCTCTGATGCAGCAAACTCAACGGAAATTCCTCCTGCCAGGATTACTAGAAGAAACCAATAAATGTCATCAAGTTCTGTCAGTTTTACTCCCGTGTTAACCCTGAAGTTGCCGGGTTATTTTGTACCATCTCACAGCCGAGATCTTGGCTGTCCCAAGCCTGATTTTTTTTAACACTCAGCGTGCATTTAAAACACCTGACCCCTTATCAGTATGGATATGAAGTTTAAATCAAGCTTGACATACAACTTATAGTTGATAGGTCGTTTGAAATTGAAGGTTACAAGTGTACCAGCCACTGTGTGCACAAAGCACAGCAGTTGAAAAGTGCAGTTATGTTTTTTAGGTGGACCTGTTTCGGGAAAGTGGGTGCTGCATGAGAACAGTATTATGTGTGATTGTCACAGAACTGCTTTCAAAGTGACTGTAAAAAGCTGCTATATGAAACTAAACTAGGCTTGGAAAAAACTGGAAAAGTTTGGCTGACCTCTTTCATGTGGCCAAGTGCTTAGGTTCTATGGTTTCCAATCATTGGGTTGGAGGTTCGAATCCAGCTGCTAGCAGTATGTTGTGGCCCTTGGCAAGCCACTTCACCCCTGCTTGCCTCTTTCCACCCAGGAGTATAAATGGGTACCAGCATTAGCTGGGAAGCAACCTGTGATGGACTGGCATCCCCTCCAGGAGAGAAAAGAAATATTCTCAGTCATTTCATGCCAAGGAAACTGCAATAAACACCGGCTTAATGAGCTAAACTGGCTTGGACCATACTTGCTTTTTTTAAAAACTTTTTCTTTCAGGAAAAAGGGGTGCTTGTAACAAGAAAGATACATATATGTGCGATTTTCACAGAATCGGTGTCAAAAAGACCACAAGAGAGTTACTCCTGAAGGCTCGACTACTGTACTGTGGCGATATCAGAGAAAATCTTGACGGCGACAAATGAACACACACAATTAACTGCACAATGGTGCTTGTTAAGTTGTCAAACCTGAAAGTAATTTGGTTCAGGTAATATCTTAGGACCCCGATTGGCTTGAGTGTCTATATTTGAAATCTTCAATATTCCCTTGATGTAACTTTGTGCAT